GAAATAGTTTCGATCCATCGAACTCTGGGTTATAGGCCCAGCACGCTTCCACTGCGCCACCCTGCTCCTTGCTGCTTGGAATCAGCCAGTGGTATATATTTTTCAAGTCTAGAAAATCAGGAAGCAACATATTGGCCTTAAACGTGCAATGAAGCCATGGCACCAATTCAATGAAATAGATTTTGAAACAGACAAGGATGTGCTACAATAAACTATAGAGCCTACTGGCCACATAACCCAGCAATCAAAAGCTATTGTTATTGTTGAGCGTGGATGCATGAAGACGTAACCCTCGGATTTTGATCGAACGTTTTCTCAAAACAACAGATTTCGTAAATCATATGGAGAATAGGGGAATTGCTGCGGTGGTCTTTTTGGTTAGGGAAGGATTGTTAAAAACGTGCTGCCGGATGGGATCGAACCCTCGACTTTAATAATAATGATAATAATAGCAGGAAATGATCACGATCTGCTTGACCTCTGGGTTATGGGCCCGGCAATTATTGCGCGCACAAGAGTGCATATGTCACCCTATAGCGTTTTGGTTAAAATTGTTTTCAAAACAACAGGTTTCGTAAATAATATGGCGATTAAAACCGAATTGCTGCGGTGGCTCTGTTGGCTAGTGTATCCTTGGTGTACGAATTTTTTCAAAATAACAAATTTTCGTAAATAATAAGGACATTTAATAAGACGAATTGGTGCCGTGGCTTGTTGGTTAGAGAAAGATAGGGATGGATGGCTAAAAACGTGCTCCCGGAGGGGATCGAACCCTCGACCTTCGCATATACTCAAGTACTGCTTATAAGTACGACGTACAAACCAAATGGGCCACGAGAGCACGTCCCGATAACGTTCCGATAACGCTCCTATTATTTTCGAAACTAGTTCTCTCGAAAGATTAGTACTAGACTAGCGGATAATTAAAGAAAATGGTCTCGGTTCATTGATCTCTGGGTTATGTGCCCAGCACGCTTCCACTGCGCTACATTGTTCCTTGTGTTGAATCATCCAAACAACATGAAAGAAATTTAGATATTGTTACACTTGCGGTTCTGCCGAAGATTCTGCCGTGACTTAGCTAGCCGTTACACCACAGAATTTTAAAGGATTGTGGACTCATATTATTGAACGAAAGTAGCTTTCCTTTGTTTCGGTAGCGTGGCCGAGTGATGTGAGGCGCTCGTTTTAGGCACCAGTCATTTCGATGACGTGAGTTCGAATCCCACCGCTGCCATTTGTTTAATAATTTGTCGCCTCTCTTTTGAACCTGATGTATATCACCTTTGAGACGCCTTGTATTTGGAGTATTCATGGCAGACAATCCACATTGTATATAAATTACGTTTGTTTTTGAGATTTCTCTTATTTCATTCCATTTGCAAACACGAAGCCGTTTCAAGATATACCTGCAATTAAAAAATATCTTCAAAAACCAACAATCAATATATTAGTCGTGAATCACGTTGGCGTCTTCATTCTTGGACTTGATGGATAGAGTACGACAAGCCGAATGCACAATTGAAATAAATAGTAACGGTGGTACAGTTTATAAGCACGACGCACTAACAAAAAGGGGGACGGTAGCAGGTCAGGAGAAAGGTATTTTTATTTTCGAAAATTATTCTATTCAGAAGAAAATGGTTACTGGCATCGGTATGCATAAAAGCTCCATAATAATAATAGCAGGAAATGGTTTCGATCCATTGACCTCTGGGTTATGGGCCCAGCACGCTTCCACTGCGCCACCCTGCTCCTTGCTGCTTGGAATCAGCCAGTTGTATATATTTTTCAAATCTAGAAAATCAGGAAGCAACATATTTCCCTTAAACATGTAATGAAGCCATGGCACCGATTCAATGAAATAGATTTTAAAACAGACAAGAATGTGCTACAATAAACTATACAGCCTACTGGCCACATAACCCAGCAATCAAAAGCTATTGTTATTATTGAGCATGGATGCATGCAGACGTCACCCACGGATTTTGGTCGAACTTTTTCTCAAAACAACAGATTTCGTAAATCATATGCAGATTAGGGCGAATTGCTGCGGTGGTCTTGTTGGTTAGGGAAGGATTGCTAAAAACGGGCTGCCGGATGGGATGGAACCCTCGACTTTAATAATAATGATAATAATAGCAGGAAATGATCACGATCTGCGTGACCTCTGGGTTATGGGCCCGGCAATTATTGCGCGCAGAAGAGTGCATATGTCACCCCATAGCGTTTTGGTTAAAATTGTTTTCAAAACAATAGGTTTGGTAAATAATATGGCGATTAGGACGAATTGCTGCGGTGGCTTTGTTGGCTAGTGTGTCTTTGATGTACGAATTTTTTCAAAATAACAAGTTTTCGTAAATAATAAGGACATTTAATAAGACGAATTGCTGCCGTGGCTTGTTGGTTAGAGAGAGATAGGGATGGATGGCTAAAAACTTGGTCTCGGAGGGGATCGAACCCTCGACCTTCGCATATACTCAAGTACTGCTTATAAGTACGACGCACTAACCAACTGGGCCACGAGAGCACGTCCCGAAAACGTTGCGATAACGCTCCTATTATTTTCGAAACTAGTTCTCTCGGAAGATTAGTACTAGACTAGCGGATAATTAAATAAAATGGTCTCGGTTCATTGATCTCTGGGTTATGTGCGCAGCACGCTTCCACTGCGCTCTATTGCTTCTTGTGTTGAATCATCCAAACAACATGAAAGGAATTTAGATAATGTTACACTTGCGGATCTGCCGAAGATTCTGCCGTGACTTCGCTAGCCGTTACACCGCAGAATTTTAAAGGATTGTGGACTTATTGAACAAAAGTGGCTTTCCTTTTTTTCGGTAGCGTGGCCGAGTGATCTAAGGCGCTGGTTTTAGGTACCAGAATCCCACCGCTGCCAGTTGTTTAACAATTCATCGCCTCTCTTATGAAGCTGGAAGTATGTCACTTTGAAGACGCCTTTGAAGTATTCGTGGCAGGCAATCCAAATAGTATACAAATTACGTTTATTTTAGAGATTTCTCTTATTTCATTCCATTTGCAAAAACTAAGCTGTTTCAAGATACACTGGCCATTGTAAATTTTCTTCAAAGAACACTAATCAATATATTAGTCGCGAATCACATTGGTATCTTCATTCATGGACTTGATGAATAGAGTACGACAAGCAATGCACATTCGAAATAAATAGTAACGGTGGTACAGTTTATATGCATGAAGCACTAACAAACATGCGACGACGGCAGGTCGGTAAAAAAGCCTTACTATTTTCGAAAACTATTGTATTCAGAAGAAAATGGTTGGTGCCTTCGGCATGCATAAGCCCTTCATAATAATAATAGCTGGAAATGGTTTCGATCCCGCTGACCTCTGGGTTATGGGCCCAGCACGCTTCCACTGCGCCACCCAGCTTCTTGTACTTTGGAATTAGGCAGTTGTATATATTTTGCGAATCTAGAAACCCATCACGCAAGATATTTCCCTTGAATTTGTAACAAAGTTACTGCATCCAATAGACTCTTCCCGAATTTGCTTGAGGGCACACGAAACAATAGCTTGGAATCGAGGCGGACAATGTAATCATTGTAAATAAGTAGTTATTTACAATGATTACATTGTCCGACTCGATTCCAAGCTATTGTTTCGTGTGCACTCAAGCAAATTCGGGAAGTGTCTATTCAATGGGATATATTTTAAAACAGATAAGAAAGTGCTACAACAGACTATAGAGCTAGCCCGCATGCAGGCCAAGGGAAGAATAGTGGGCCTGCAAGCAAGGCCGTGTATTTTGTACTTTCCGCGTTCGCCCACGAACGCGGCATTCTGATTGGCTGTTTGCTGTTGGATTCTATAATTAGATCAATGATTCATCACAAAGGCTCTCGATAAGCTTAAATTTCGAAAATTGATCACTTTTCTTGATTAAAAATGGAGCAAGAACTGACTGTTTTTTGTTTACTAGAAGGAAGAGATGTTTTTTCCGTTATGACAATGGGGATTGCTTGTCGTGAAGTGCTGGAATTGCAACATTACGACTGGGGTAAACTATAGTAACCATTACTTGAGTTTCAATGTTTCATTAATAATTTCAAACAGACTTGATACGCTATATGTTCCTCAAGAAAATTATCTTTAGGTTGATGTTGACTCTGTTCTTGCACTAAAAAAACAGAGCTTTTGGCGGTGAAGACTTTGAGGCAGTTGTATGTAAGCCTATTCGAAACACTTTGCGATTTGCAAGGCTTCGCTGAGAGAGGGAAACAGAGGTAATTGCCGTTTGAAACAAAACGATCTGGACTCTGAACGCTCTCTTCTTTTGTAGAGTTCTTTATACCAAATGAAATAAATTTTGAAATAAATTTTCTACTTTCCGCCGACAACAAGAATTGCACACACGATCTGATAAGTGAGACAATTTCAATTTATAACAATGGCGACAGCGAAGCACACATTAATGTTAATGTGGTCGCACGACTTCCCTCGCTATTTGAAGTTTGAGACTAGTTTTCTGTTGAAATTCGTCCTAATTTGCCTGTTCCGATTTCAGCTGAAAATTAGCACTTGCAAATTTGGCAATTACTGACTGCGTTCCTTGCTTTTTTTGAGTTAAAACACAGCCATTTAGGGCCTACACATTGTTTCTATTTTGAATAAGCAGAGAAAACCCGCAACATTTTAATGCGAGTTTGTTTATTACTATTTGGGTCGCTGTCATTGGTTCTTTTTTGACATTTGACGCGCAAATGGTGCGTGTTATGAAAAGGGGCGTTTTACAAAATAACGGGCCCTGCTTGCAGGCCCACTATTCTTCCCTTGGGCCTGCACGCACTATATAGAGCCTACTGGCCACATAATCCGGCAATCAATAGGTATTGCTATTATTGAGCTTGGATGCATGCAGGAAATTCCCGGTTTCGGAAGATTGTGGACTGGAAGATAATAGTAGCAGAAAGTGGTCTCGATTCATTGACCTCTAGGTTGTGCACCAGCACGCTTCCACTGCGCTACTCTGCGCTACCCTTGCGCTACCCTGCATGCATTAAAGAAAGGAAAGAAATTGCCTGAGTTTATTAAGTTCAGCAGGACGGATCGTGCATGCGCGAAGAGATACGGTGCTGCTTTAAGTTCATTGCAATCAATCTGTCCATCACCATCTTTGTCTGCCAGTTGGAATCTTTCACGGTTTCTTTGGAGTGTTCCTCCACGTTTATTGCTTTGGCCAGCTCTTCCAAAGTAATTCCACCACTTTTGTCAAGATCATAGTTTTTAAACTTGTCTGGAAATGGAACCCGAACTGTATGTCGTTGTTTGTCAATTGCGCTACGTTTGCCCCAGGTGCAACGAACTCCACACTGAACTCTGTACGGAAAGCACACCACACTACACTGCCAGCGACAACCGCGTGACATTACACTGGTGCACATTGTGCACAAAATCAAAATGGTAAAAACAGAGAGTTTATTAACGGAAGTCATCTACAAAATATAAATGAAATAGGTGGTGTTTAATTGTTGTGTTTGTGCTACAGCTTTCATTCCATAGGTATAGATGATTTATTTAACCAGCATGCACACATTTTTCTATTTGTGGTAAATGAAATACTCACAGTGTTTTCCAGGGATGCTCTCGATGTTCGATGCAAAAACTGTGATCTGATATTCTCCAAATGCTCTGAATCTTTGGCTGATAATAAAATGATGGGAAAGCAAGACTAGCTCTCCTCTATATATAGTATTGGAACAGCTATACATAATTTTTGGTTTAGTTGTTATTTTTCTAAAGTAAAATACCCGCTTCAGGAACAAGACATGTAAATTTTGGTGATTGTTTGGTGTAAGGCCATTCCAATCTTGTAAACATCGACAACCTCGTACCCAGGGTGCGCGCAATGCGAATTCTGAATCTGGGCGACAAATGAGTGATATCATGCAGGGTGTATAAAAAAACTGAAAGCTTTGAATGCAATTTTGTACAGTACTTAAAATCCGATGTGTAAGTGCATCTAAATTTCAACACATATATTTAAAAGATGCGTGTTCTCATGCTGTTTTGGCATGCATATATGTATTCATCTATTTTCCATAAATCAAATATATATGCATGCTGTCAAATTATTCCAAATACTACATTTTACATAACAAGACGACAAGTAGGTTCACTGACTACCCGCTGTATTCTTTGACGGGCCCCATTGTACAAGTATTATATAATGTATTATAATGTGTATACAGTCAAACCCCTATAAGCGGACACCTCTCTTAAGCGGACATCTCTTTTAAGCGGACACATATCTCAGGTCCCATTCGTTTTCTTTAATAAAATACTATTATCATAACCCCTATTAAGCGGACACCCCTCTTTAACGGACGCAGACACCTTACTTGAGGTCCCAATGGGCAAACCAACCTCTCGTAAGCGGACAGATGACAGATTGTCTGATAAAATGTATTCAATATTCGACAGTAAATAACAATTGAGATCAATTTACATGGCATATTGACAGTGACACACCAAATTGGCACGAAGACATCAGAGCCAAGATCATTGAGGAAGTGACGAACAAGGACGGATCCACGTAGGACTGTGAACCGCCAGCCGAGGAGCCAAAAGATATGTGTCAGATCACTGATGCTCACAACGAACTGAACGAAGATGACGAATTTGACTGGTCTCTAGATCTCATTAAATCGTCCTCCAACGCCATTTTTCTGTAAATGACATTATAATGGGCTATCGTCTGCGTAAGCCTCGAAAGCAAGCTTGTCTCGATTCCTTTTTTATATGACTGTGAGAGACGTACACATTTTCTAATGAACTTTTATGCACAAAGAAATTTTCATTTTATCCTAATTATTTGCTAGATATATTTTACTGTTTTGATACTCAAATTACAAACCTAATTACACACCTTTGCCTCCCGCTGTGTTTTTCTACATACCCCTTTTAAGCGGACACCTCTTTTAAGGGGACACTTAGGCGAGGTCCCGAAGGTGTCCGCTTAATAGGGGTTCGACTGTATGCATTATATACATTGTATATATTTTTCGTTAGATTGTTTTTTGAACGCCCTAACCCATCAAAGCTGAGGTTCAAAAAGTACTAAAGTTTAAACGTCCCTTTTCTAAAATATCCCCGCTTTATATGCTGTGCAATGTTCGTACATCATCTAATAGAATTATGCGTTTCTTTTAATGCATTAATCCATTACAAAATGAAAAGTGGTGAACTGCTCGAAATTTATCTGACCATTTTGTGCATGTGATAATTGTTTAGTCTTTATATTTCGGTCTTGCTTTACCGAAATGTGACACTGTATGTTTATTATAATGGTGAATGTCCGTTTCAGTTGCACTGGATTTTTTCCATTTAATATATTTACATTTCAAGCCTAATTAGGCGATTATTTCGTGTCAGCGCGTTTCTTGCCTTTCGTTATCGTTTAAACGTCGACTTCCTCGTACCAGGCGTCTCTGTGGAGAACGCGAGGCAAATTGTAACACCTGATATGTGGTGATATAATGAGAGCTATTTCAGTAACCAATTATAAGAATCTGCACGGCCGAAAAACGTGTTGGTCGCCAAAATTAGCCCGTTTCTTCTGATTCAATTAGACCTAAATTACATTAAACTATAATTGACAAAACTGTTGTCAATCTGCTTGTATTCACGGCACGTAATTGAAACTTAGCATTTGTGTTTCGCTTAATAATAATAAAAAATGAGTTACAGACTTCAGTTGTGCGAGTTGCAATAGGATATATTTACTATGACATCGTGTTAAAAAGATCCATTCGAGGCCAATCGAACTATGTTTATATATTACAAAGATTTAGGTTCAACAGATTAAGCAAAGATGGCTATACAACTTCTTAACCTGTCAGCTTTTGACGTTTACATCTTCCTGAACACAAGAGCTTAGTCTTCGCTAAATTGCGGTCTGTATAATATAAACAAAAATTTGCGTTATATAACTTTGGCGTGTGCTCACTGATTTTAAAACAAAATGATTTCATGTACTGTTTGCGGTCGGCTTCCCGGTCTAGGATTATTGGACTGTGTAATATGTAAACACAAATTTGCGCTAGCTCTGGCGTTTGCACATGCCATGGTTTTAAAACAAAAAGATTTCGTGTACTGTTTTCGGTCTGTTGATAAAAAACATATATATTTTTATTATAATTTCACTATTTGGCTGGCCGCACAAATCAGTATATTATAATTCGTGCAAACCTAAGGTTTGTTGAATTACAACGATATTAAATAGAGACATACTGTATAGAGCTGCAACGTACCACAATACCATATTTACAATGATTCATGCGGCATAATGGGATTTGTTTCATTATAAAAATTTAGGTTCAACTGCATGATTAAGCAAAGATGACTACATGTTTCTGACCACAAGAGTCTCCGCTAAATTAGCCTGTATAATATAAACACAAATATGCGCTAGCTTTGGTATTTGCACACTGAGTTTATGTCATATTTTCATTTACTTTGAGAGAACACCATGGTTACCAACAACTGAAACGCTAATCCTTTCACGCATCATGCGGATTCTCATGTTCACGGATCTTGTTCTCCGAGATCATGGTTGCTTATTAAGCATAAATCCATTCTCACTGCTAAAAAATTGTTCAGAATTAAATTTTATATGTTTCAAGTTGATTTCTGTGGTATATCATCCATGGTAAAAATAGCCATAGTAACATGTATATGCTATGCAAGTTTTTAATGATTTGGATTACATGTTTATTAGCATGGCATTACCAGTTGCCTTGGCTAGCTGCACTAACCTAGCTTACCACTGCATACTGTACAATATAGAAATAGCGAAAACAATAATAATACTTGAATGAATCATTGGACATATAGAAGCAAGTTGCTCTCAGTGTGTGCGAATAGTTTTCGTGAGGATTTGACCTGGTGATCGCTAGATAGTATACTTCAAAATAAGGTTTCCATTTTTATAACGTAGAAAAAACTATCCTAACGCAAAACTAAACCCTAACCCTAATACTAACCCTCACCCTAACCCCAACCTAACCCTAACCTAAACCCTAACCTAACCCTAACTTATTTTGATCATTTTAAAAATTGATATAAAAACGGAAACCTTATTTTGAAGTATATTATCTTGCAATTGCCGATTTTGACCTCTCGAGGCCTTGAGGAAAATATTCGTGTTTGATATTTTTCGCCTCGCGAGGAAAAAATCTCAGCGTCTGCGGATGTTGTGAGCTAAGTGCTGAGCTGTTTGAATCAATTAGCCAATGACAAACCATGGTTTCTTCATGTGACTTGGAACAAAATGTAGGAAAATGCAAATGATTTTGTCAATTATGTTGTTATTGAGTAGTTTCCCAACGTGTGCGGTGAAAGATGAAAATACATGTAGCTGAGCTAGCTGCCTCGCGAGGCGGTTAGCTCAGCAAGTTGCTATCGTGTGCGGCGGGCTTAATCAGTTGAATCTATAAATCTTTATGATAGAAAAACAGTTCGATCGGCCTTGATTGGGTCTTTTTATCACGACGTTATCGTAAATATATCGTATTGCAACTCACACAACTGAAGTAACTAATTTCTTATTATTAAACGAAACACATGCACATACTAATTTTCAATTACCTGCTGTGAATACAAACAGATTGACAACAGTTTTTTCAAATATACCGGGTGTCCCCCCCAAAAATATACCTTGTTTGATTTCATGTAACGTAAAGCCTATAAAAGCTATTTCACTAAAATAAAAGCATTGTATACACAAACTGTGATTAACATAGATTTTAATATATAATATTTAATTTACGCGCGATATTAACAGACCTATTGACATTTCAAAGTTAAACTACCTTTGCTGAAAACGTCAAATATTAGCATAAAACAGCATATCAAATTCGAAATTAGTTTACTTGTTAATTTTATTCTGGCTAAAAGAATGCATTGACGTACAAACGGATTAAACTATCTAATGTATGTCTACTCATCAGCAAAAGCGTGACTTTGAGCCTAAATGCACCGTTGTGCTCTAGAACATCATGCAGACAAAAACATTTTGGATTATCTGTTGATCGAAACACAGTTAATAAAAGAAACGATCTTGCCTCACGCAATTGTCTAAGATTCCTTGGCTGCTGAATACCACTTGTTTTATTCCTAAGAATTAATCTTTAAGAGCAACTTTTATTTTTAAAATTAAGTTTAAAAGAAAATCAACTAGAATTAAAGATGAAATCACTGAAGTTAAAAAGATTCCATGAAGTTAAAAATATTCCTTGTAAAGTGACAACTGCTTTCCATTTAGTTTGACGCGGCGATTTTCGTCGTTTCTCCGCCAATTTCTAAAACTCCTCGCAACTTCAAACACTTGTATTTCCGGCAATATCGCACGGAAAATTAAATGTTATATATCAAAATCAAAGTTAATGCTTTGTGAATACAGCGGTCATTATTTTAGTGCAATCCCTTGTAGAATCAAACACTATTTAATTGCTATTTAATTCCTATTTTATGATTGGGCTATTTAATTACTATTTATCAAAGTATTTATTTCCTATTTTTACTATTATTTTTTTTCGAGGTTTTTCCATAGATATCTTATATACACTAAATAGTGCGAGGGGCAATTCACTCCAAAAATCCCGTACACTTCGTCAAAAAATCCGGAAAAAATCCAGAAAAAATCCATGAAATCCTCAAAATCCGTTGAATCCATCAAAATCCAAAAAATCCTTTAAAAACCACAGAAATCCTTCAAAAATCCACAGAAATCCTTCAAAATCCTTAAAAAATCCGCAAATCCACAAAAAATATATGAAGTACTTGGTGTAATTTACTCGTAAAGGTTCTTTCCCACGTTCAAACTGATGGCGGACAGCGAAAGCTAAACGCTTACCGTGATCGCTCGGCTGTCATTATATTTCGTAATTATTGGACCACTCTACATTTCCATTTATACGCTCGAGTATACGCTAAGTTTTTTTTAGCCTATTACTACTAAATATGTGTTCTTGTTACAATGACGTTATGTTGTAAAATATAATTACAAAACCAAAGGTTATTCACCATTGTCTTTTACTGCTTTTGAAAGAATAATGAACTTGTTTGAATTTTAAACAAAATGACTGCATGCCCAGCCTTCGTTAATAGTTTCAGAAGGCTGTGGTCCTAGTCCCAGTCCTCTGCTCGACCCTGACGTCCTGGCATAACGTTGACATCGTACAACTTAAGATTATTTGTTCAAAACGTTACCTAGCTCTATAACTCTATAATTAAAAAAAATCCAGAAAAAATCCGAACAAATCCGGAAAATCCAAACAAATCCGGAAAATCCAACAGATTTTCAAAAATCCAGAAAAAATCCGAACAAATCCGGAAAATCCGAACAAATCCAGCAAATTTTCTCTTCAAAAATCCGCTAAAAAATCCGCGGATTTTTAAAAATCCGAAAATCCCGTACGCTTTTTTGGAGTGAAATGCCCCTCGAAATAGTGCATCTCTTTTAGTAAAATTGAGGCCAAGAATATTCCAGCGGTTACTCCCATTTGAATAGATGGCGGCCATGTTGGAGTTTCCCACTCGCTAATATAAACGCTTAAAAAACAACAATAACGTTCATCATTTATGATAGTTTGAAAATGTATTTGGGATAGGTTTAACTTAATGTTTAAGTTCCCTGTTTAAGAAATAGAAAACATACGAGTCTTCTCATTTCATGGGAATATCCTGAGTCTGCAATCACGGCTCATCAATTTTTGAATTGCAGAATAATTAGATGCACTATCTAGTGTATATAAGATATCTATGTGTTTTCCTATTTAAATTAGGGTAGAAAGGCTATTTTTTTCCTATCCAAGTCGAACCATATTTTTTTCCTATTCATGATATATTTCTAAACAAATACTTAATTGATGTACTCGAATAGAAATTAAATAGGTTTCAAATATGAGAAAAATAGAGCTATTTAAGGAAATTATTAAAAATATTTAGTTTCGACATAGTTAATAAATATGTATGAAATAGTTAAAACATTGTGACAATATAGGTAAAAAATATGTAATAAATAGCTGAAATGAATTTCAACAAAATTTAAAATAGTCAATAAATAGTTCAAAAATAGTGATAATATAGTTTAAAAGTAGATAATAAATAATTCAAAAATATTGAGTTATAGTTTAAAAATAGATAATAAATAGTTCAAAAATAGTGATAATATAGTTTAAAAATAGATAATAAATAGTTCAAAAATAGTAATAATATAGTTTAAAAATAGATAATAAATAGTTAAAATACATCCCAGCTTGTTAAGAATAGATAATAAATAGTGGATATAATATTGCCCAAATAGATTAAAAATAGTTAAAAAATAGTAATAACATATTAAATAAATAGTTAAAATATATGTCCTGTTAATACAGTTAGAATAGTTATTAAATATAGTGTATACAAATACATATAGCCTATAAATATTTTTAAAATATATTATAAATACCAGTAATTAAAACATAGATAATAAAAAGTTAAAACATATAATGTAAATAGTTTTTAAATAAAATATAATTAGTAAAAGAAATTGAGAACAAGTGTAGAAGTGCTGAAACATCAGAGGCTATTACAGACCTACTTTAGTATTTATCTTCTATAAATGCCAGACAATTTTACTTATCAGCAGGAAGAGGTCTTTCAATAAATGAGTTGAAAATCTGTAGTTAGCACTCTCTATAGTAGCCAAAGAGTTAAGTATTACATACAGTAACTTGGCTGGGGACTGGGCAGAAGAAAAGCAAGAACATCATGTAACATCAAGAATAGGGCGAAGCTCGACTAAGTTCAGGCCTTCTTTACAGGTTATAGAAAAACTGACATTTATATATTTGAATAATACCCTGAATCTAGCTGGATATTTTTCAACTATCCAACATATATCTAGCTGGATAGCAAAAACATTCTATCTTGCACACCCCTACAAAGAACTTCAAGTAGGTAACATAAGAGGAAATTGCTCCTTTATAGGTCTCAATATTTAGGTGAGATATGGGCCAGCATGCCACAGTTGGTAAGTAAAATTGTCTACCATGCATGAAATGTCAGAGTTAAATAATAATATCAAAGTACTTAAGTAGGAAGTGTTATATGTCAACATGAAACATGGGCAGAGTGTAGCACTCTAGCTAGACACTTCCCTTGACAAATAAAATTGTCCGGCATTAGGCAAGATAACATTTAATAACATAGTGCTGAATATTGGGCTCATTGGAGTGAAATGGGTAATTCCAAAAAACAATCAAATCCTTGCCGCGGTGTCTCTAAAATATATAAAATGAAGCCCAAAGGTTGTTACATATATTATTAAGCAAATCATGAAGACATGTGGGGTAACTAAATGTATTCATATGTTTGAACAAGCAAACTAAAGACTTTAACTGTTTTCAGTTAGGGTCACGTCTATAATCAAGTTGCCACACATGACAACAACACATCAAATTGATATTTTGATCTATTCTAAACTGACCCACCTACATATGAATAAATATTGGAAACTTATGAAAGTACCAGTTAATTTGAAACCAGTCGATAAATTTTCTCAAACCATGTTTAGCTGGGACATGCCTGGGTAGGCATATGAGATTTGAGTAGATGGCAAGCTATATTATTTTATACAAGAAACACTGGAATCTGGCAATCTGTCATATACACTATACACAAAGGTCAAAGTATACTATTTGGCATTACAATAAACAACATTTAATATAAAGGCTGAGTCAAATGTAAGCCTTTCTATAAAACAAATGTTTTTTAATTCAAATATTGTCGAAGCAAATTGAAATGTTAAGCTGGAACATGTGCTCAAAATTCACGAATGAAGATAGTAAATATTTCCTTTCAAAATTGCTTACCTGGATGTTGCCCAGTCATTCCTGATCTTTAATCTTTTAAATAAGTATTACTTTCGCTCAATAAATGCTCTGTCTTTGAGTATTTCGAGCGGAAAGTTTAAACGCAAAAATTTTTAAATATGACGGTGTGAATTGTGACGCTATCCCAGAAAGCTTTGCGCGTGTTGTTGGAAAATTAGGCACCAGTCTGTGGGTCTGTCAAATTGCGCTCTTCGTGAGAATTTTTGGTGGTGTTTTGTCAAGAGACAAAATACCTACCTCCACAAAGACTATAAATATTTTTGTAAATATAGTTTCAATGAACTCATAAAAAATTTAAAATTAACTCAAACTGGGAAATTTTGACCAGTTAAATAAATAGATTTACCCTTTCTCAATTCTCACAACTTTCTATGAATAGGAAATAAATAGCTTTTTAAGATCTAACAAGACGCCTGCTCAGGCGTTCACACTGGCCTGAAAATGGCAACTTTCGTGGTACTGGGTGTAATGTGTAGTAGAGAAGTAGATAGGGATACAGGATCATAGGGATACTGGATCATATAAATACAACCAATAAATACAATCATGATCAGCAACTATCAACCATAATATACCAAGACGCCGGCTCAGACGTACCCTCCGGCTACGGGCAACTCAACTTGACAAGCCAGGCCCACTGTAATACTATGATCATCAACTACCAACCGTGAATAATGACGGGCCAATAATAGCGAAGAAATTATAGTCCTTGATTTTTAATGCCGTTATATGACTAGTTTCAGGTGCTAAAAAGTTCATAGACGTAGACGATTCTTCTAAAAAATACGCCAATTTAATTTGCTTCCATTTATAAGATAAACTGATCCCAACCCAAAGCCCTTCTCTAACCCCAACCAGTAAACATCTAATAAGCAATTTGAGAATTAAAAAAGTGGGGGGGGGGGAGTTGGATCTTGTTCCAAAAACAAATCGAACCGTATCACGTTTCAATTCGCCGCACGCAACGCCACTGACCTCGCTGAATACAATCGAAAACATACATTTTATAGTAATATATGATGAATTAGAAAGTAATTTGGCGCAAATTAATGTAATTAGGTGCAAATTTATAATTATGCAAATAAATACAAGAGCACAACGCATGTTTACGAGCCTACGTATAACGTATATTTATACTTGTTAATTAAAAACTTTAACTTGTCCTTGTTTATATTCCACTATATCGTATAAATTCGCTGGGTCCAATTTTTGGGGTTTTCGAGTCGTTACACAAAGAAAAACACACTAATTCAACACGCAAGAAAGGCCAGAGTGCAACACAACGTAAAATCCATAGGAAACCGGCACAATTCTTTAAAAATTCAACGAAACTGTGTGAAATATATATTAGATCGCTCAGTGAAAAGCCATCATTTTGAAACTGAACTGAATATGTCACTGGAGCATGTTGCACCCTGAGCCTTCGATGACCTAACGAAAACTCCATTTCTCGTCGAAAACAGAAAAAGAGGGATTTAAGACACTTGGCCTACAGGCCAGTGTAATTATTTTGCTATTTATTAGCTATTTTAACAGCAGCTCTAAAAATAAAAGCAAACGTAGTTTAAAAATAGCTATTTAATAGCCATTTGAACAAAGTTCATATGAATAGGAATTAAATAGCTATTTAAGATCTATTTATTTTCCTATTTAATAACTAATTTAACAATACTCAATAATAGCTCCAAAAATAAAAGCAAACTAGTTTAAAAATAGCACAGAAAAATTCTTATTTAATTGCTATTTGGAACAAAGTTCGCCACAACTTTCTATGAATAGGAATTAAATAGCTATTTAAGATCTATTTATTTTCCTATTTAATAACTATTTTAAAAATACTCAATAATAGCTCCAAAAATAAAAGCAGACATAGTTTAAAAATAGCTATTTTATAGCTATTTTGGACCAAAGTTTGCCACAACTTTCTAATAGGAATTAAATAGCTATTTAAAATTTATTTATTTTGCTATTTAATAAATGTGTTAAGAATGGCTCCAAAAAAATAAGCAAAAATAGTTTAAAAATAGCTACTTAAAACTATTTTAACTGACTCGTTTGTCATCAATAGGAATTAAATAGCTATTTAAAAGCTATTTTATATTGAGATTCCGTCAATTACTCTTTCAAATAGGATTTGAATACCTATTTAAAAGCTATTTCTTTGAAAAATATAAATCACATATATTTTAAGTAGAGTGTAAATAGTCATATACTATTTTATGAAATTTGATAAATACGGCAATAAAATAATCATATTTTTGAAAAATACGGAAAAAATAGGGCTAAATAGAGAAAAAATAGGTATAAAATAGGTTATAAATATGTCAGATTCTACAAGGGATAACTTTTATAGGTTTTAAGTTACACGAAATCGAACAGGGTACAGTTCACCCGGTAGTTTCATATATTTTATTTAGGTATATAATTGCATCAGGAGACACGCGCAAAACTTGGCGACCAACACCGTTTTAACGCCGTGCGGACTGGTTACTGAAATAGCTCTAATTATCCACATGTCAGGCGTTGTACACGATAACACGAGTTTAAGATCTACGACGTTCATTCATTGGTTGGTATGAAATAAGTAATTGGACAAGTACTGGTGTAAGACATTGTGTAGCCTAAATGAAGAGGACCAGTAGTTCAAATGGTTATCCTTTATTTATTTACTCCGACTCCTCTGATGGTGAACATGTACGCAAAAAACAAGGAAAACTACGATTAGATAGTAACTGAATATGTGAATATTATGTGACACGATGAGGGCGAGGATATATAAGAGCGAGAGATTGAATTGGAATAGGAAAGGCAACCCTGTACGCGTTTCGACCTAACAGTCTTCTTCAGCAGGGTTTTTTTAAGGGGAGTGTAGATTGATTAAGGATGTAGCCAAGCGGCGCTAATTACTACATGCGTCTCAATGTTTCGCCGTAAATATGTGTACATTTTCGTATTCCGCGTTAAACCTCGTTTATTCTCCTTTTCAAAAACATGCCCGTTGGCACTAATTGCTTCAAGGGATTTTGTACTCAGCATGACCATTTTCTACTAAAGCAGGAAAAACAGAATAGCAAGAATATTCGTGCTGAAAATATAAGCTATCAGGTCAAAGCTTATTTGACTGAACGGTGATAAGGTCGATCTGTCAATTGAAATGGACGATTTATAGGCCGGGATACTAAAAAGCAATTGGACAGAACATCGTTCTATTTCACATCACGCAATTTAAAAATTAAAATGTTAGATTACAAGTTCTACAATACTAGGTCCACTACCAAACATACATTACTAGTCAAAAAATATAATTAATCTGCTCGTTTTGTCACTATCATGCATGCATTAAAGAAAGGAAAGAAAGTGCCTGAGTTTATTAAGTTCCGCGGCAGGACGGATCGTGCGCGAAGAGATACGGTGCTGCTTTAAATTCATTGCAATCAATCTGTCCATCACCATCTTTGTCTGCCAGTTGGAAAGCTTTCACGGTTCCTTTGGAGTGTTCCTCCACGCTTATTGCTTCGGCCAGCTCTTCCAAAGTAATTCCACCACTTTTGTCAAGATCATAGTTTTTAAACTTGTCTGGAAATGGAACCCGAACTGTATTTTGTGGTTTGTCAATTTCGGTACGTTTGCCCCAGGTGCAACGAACTCCACACTGAACTCTGCATGGATAGCACACCACACTACACTGCCAGCTACAACCGCGTGACATTACACTGCTGTACATTGTGCAGAAAATCAAAATGGCAAAAACCGAAAGTTTATTAACGGAAGTCATCTACAAAATAAAAATGTCATTAGGTGGTGTTTAATTGTTGTATTTGTGCTACAGCTTTCATTCCATAGGTATAGATGATTTATTAAACCAGTATGCACACATTTTTCTATTTGTGGTAAATGAAATACTCACAGTGTTTTTCCAGAGATGCTCTCGATGTCCGATGCAAAAACTGTGATCTGATATTCTCTAAATGCTCTGAATCTTTGGCTGATGATAAAGTGATTGGAAAGCAAGACTAGCTCTCCTCTATATATAGTATTGGAACAGGAATACATAATTTTTGGTTTGATTGTTATTTTTTTAAAGTAAAATATCCGCTTCAGCAACAAGATATGTAAAACTTCGACAACCTCGTACCCAGGATGCGCGCAATGCGAATTCTGAATCTGGGCGACAAATGAGTGATATCATACAGGGTGTATAAAAAACTGAAAGCTTTGAATGCAATTTTGTACAGTACTTAAAACCCGATGTGTAAATGCATCTAAATTCTAACACATATACTTAAAAGATGCGTGTTGTCATGCAGTTTTGGCATGCATATGTATTCACCTATATTCCATAAATCAATTATATATGCATGCTGTCAAATTATTCCAAATACTACATTTTACATAGCAAGACGACAAGTAGGTTCACTGACTACCAGTGCATTCTATGACAGCCGCATTGTACAAGTATCATATACAATGTATTATAATGTATATATGCATTATATACATTGTGTATATTTTCCGTTAGATTGTTTTCTGATACGCCCTAACCCATCAAAAGCTGAGGTTCAAAAAGTACTAAAGTTTCAACGTCCCTTTTCTAAAATATCCCCGCTTTATATGCTGTGCAATGTTCGTACATCATCTAATAGAATATGCATTCCTGTTAATGCATTAATCCATTACAAAATGAAAAGTGGTGAACTGCTCAAAATTTATCTAACCATTTTGTGCATGTGATAATTGTTTAGTCTTTATATTTCGATCTTGCTTTACGGAAATGTGACACTGTATGTTTATTATAATGGTGAATGTCCGTTTCAGTTGCACTGGATTTTCTCCATTTAATATAATTATTTACATTTCAAGCCTAATTAGGCGATTATTTCGTGTCAGCGCGATTCTTGCCTTTTGTTATCGTTTAAACGTCGACTTCCTCGTACCAGGCCTCTTTGTGGAGAACGCGACGCAAATTGCAACTCCTGACATGTGGATATAATGAGAGCTATTTCAGTAACAAATTATAAGAATCTGCACGGCCGAAAAACGTGTTGGTCGCCAAAATTTGCCCGTTTCTTCTGAATCAATTAGACCTAAATTACATTAAACTATAATTGACAAAACTGTTGCCAATCTGCTTGTATTCACAGCACGTAATTAAAAAATTAGCATTTGTGTTTCGCTTAATAATAATAAAAAATGAGTTACTTCAGTTGTGCGAGTTGCAATAGGATATATTTACTATGACATCGTGATAAAAGGACCCATTCGAGGCCAATTGAACTATGTTTATATATTATAAAGATTTAGGTTCAACGGATTAAGCAAAGATGGCTATACAACTTCTTAACCTGTCAGCTTTTGACGTCTGCATCTTCCTGAACACAAGAGCTTAGTCTTCGCTAAATTGGTCTGTATAATATAAACAAAAATTTGCGCTATATAACTTTGGCGTTTGTACACTGATTTTAAAACAAAATGATTTCGTGTACTGTTTGCGGTCTCATCAGTAAAAACACTCTATTTCACTATTCGACTTCCCAGTCTAGTCAGCACAATACGCAGAGAAAAAAGGTTTGTTAAAATGTTGAATTATAACGTTAATACAGAGACCTATACACTATATAAAGCTGCAACGGCAATACCATATATACAATGCATGATTCATGCATATAATAATTAATTAAGAGGCGTTTTCATTATAGAAATTTAGGTTCAACTGATTAAACAAAAATGACTACATCTTAATTCTTAACCTAACCGGATTCTAATTCACTGCTTTATTCGCTCAGAAATATTTAAGGTTTGTTGAAATACTTATAACTATGATGATACTGACTTACTGCATGCATGTATGCAATGGTTGTCATATAATAGGATGTGTTTTCATTATAAAAATTTAGTTTCAACTGATTAAGCAAAGATATATCCATCTATACATCTTCTTTACCTGTCAGAAAAAAATGCCTGCATCTTCCTGAATACTGAGTGTCTCTGCTAAATTGGACTGTGTAATATGTAAACACAAGTTTGCGCTAGCTTTGGCGTTTGCACATGCACCGGTTTTAAAACAAAACTAAGGATTTTGTGTACTGTTTTCGGTCTGTTGATAAAAACATCGCTACAACAATATCCCATATGAGGAGATATCGCTACAACAATATCCCATATGAGGAGGGAATTTGTAGCCACTGTGACTTGAATGAGGTTGGCAATGAACAACACTATTTAATGCAATGTGCCAATACAAAATTCACAGTGATTATAGAACGAACTTCATTACCAATCTTTTTCAAATTAACTATTCTTTTAGATTTTTTAATAACCATGATCTTTTCATATATATTATGTCAATGAAAGACAAATCCATAAATTCACTAGTTGCTAAATTCTGTTATGATATTTTAAAAACATTTGACCAATTGTAAGTTAATGTATCTTAAGCTCATTTTCCATATACTGTAATCAGTTTATTTGTTTTGTAATTCGACATATCAGTAATGGTATTTTTGTATGAATAAAGTTATTATTATTATATTCTATAATTTCACTATTTGGCTGGCCGCTCTAATCAGTATATTATAATTCGTGCAAACATAAGGTTTGTTGAATTATAACGATATTAAATAGAGACATACTGTATAGAGCTGCAACCACAATATCATATATACAATGGTTCATGCGGCATAATGGGATTTGTTTCATTATAAAAATTTATGTTCAACTGCATGATTAAGCAAAGATAACTACATCTTTCTGAACACAAGAGTCTCCGCTAAATTAGCCTCTATAATATCAACACAAATATGCGCTAGCTTTGGCATTTGCACACTGAGTTTATGTCATATTTTCATTTACTTTGAGACAACACCATGGTTACCAACAACTGAAACGCTAATCCTTTCACGCATCATGCGAATTCTCATGTTTACGGATCTTGTTCTCCGAGATCATGGTGGATTATTAAGCGTAAATCCATTCTCACTGCTCAAAAATTGTTTAGAGTTAAATTTTTTAAGTTTGAAGTTGATTTCTGTGGTATATCATCCATGGTGAAAATAGCCATAGAACAGGTATGCTATATGCAAGTTTTTAATGATTTGGGTTACATGTTTATTAGCATGGCATTACCAGTTGCGGTGAGATTCGAACCCACGTCATCGAAATGACTGGTGCCTAGAAACAGTGCCTTAGACCACTCAGCCACGCTACCGCTGGCAAAGTATAGCCACTTTTGTTCGAAATATGATTCCGCAACCTTCAATATTTTGTGGTGTAACGGTTAGCAATTTGGACTCTGAATCCAAGTATCCGCAATTAAGTCTCGGCAGAAACTCCGGTAGAACCTCATGATTGTCTAACATTATCTAAATTTCTTTCTCGTTGTTCGGCTCAATTCACTCATATTTGGGTCAGTACATGGTTTGGAATCTTCGCGTAAATGCAATAATACTCAATATCGCTGTTTATATCCAGGTTTATGCAAATATATGTTTCTTGGACGGATTGTCGTCCAGATGAGACAACCAATAATTATGCTTGGACCTAGTTATGACGGTTCAGTCAATCTGGGACCAGAGGTAAAAGAAATTGCAATAGAATTGTTTTCACCGGTAAAATGTGGGGGAAGGTGTCCTGATTAACATACTAAAAATCCCAAAAAATCCCTTAGGTGGAACATGGTGAAAATTGAGTTTTTTTTGGACAGAATGTTCAAATTTTGAAATCATTTTTAGGCAAATGTAACCTACATTATTGGAAAGCTTAAACAGAACTATATAGAGGTCAATTAAACCGTTATATTCAATTTACTAGTCAGTTTGTCGTTATTCTAGCTGAAAGATGGAAAAATAGCGCAAAATTCGCACAAAATACAAATTTATGGCATTTTAAATCTTGTATAACTTCGGTTTTAGTTTTTTCTAAGCTTTCCAATGATGCAGGTTATATTTGCAAAAACATAATTTCAAAATTTCAACATTTTGTCCGCAATGGTTTTCTGTAGGTAGAAGTAAGAAAAACTCGATTTTTACCATGTTCCACCGAAGGGATTTTTTTGGATTTTTAATATGTTAATTAGAGCACCTTTTCTCACACTTTACCACTGAAAAAAAATCTATTGCGATTACTTTGATCAAGACCATGTACTTATAGTGATCTGACTGGACTAGTAGTTTATATCCATCCGTGACTTGAACAATGCGTTAATTTAAACATTGCTATTGGTTGATATGACAAAAGTACAATGGGGACGTGGCGACGAAGGATCAGATTCTTCCGCAAACCCAGACAAACATAGTTATTAACTATAATGAGTTATATTGTGATTCTGTCGCCAAAGTTTCCAAACCATGTGCTCTACCAACTCCGTAATTTTAGATTTTCCATTGCGCAGAAAATGTGCAATTGCCTTTTGGATTGCGTCTTTTCCGAAACCCTCTATTTCTCAAGAGGAAAAATCCAAGAAAGTCTTCCACTCTTTGGATTGCTTCTATGAATTTCCGTCAACTGGTTTCGCTCATCTGGTAGAGTCGTTTTTCATAATAAATAGCAAATAACACGGAGAAACATTTACAATGCGCATATTTCTCCCTTAGGTCGGCAGAGGGCAGCCTTCTTCCAGTCCACTATCTTCCGAAACAACAAATTTCCAAAATAATAAGAGCGTTATCAGGACCTGCTCTCGTAGCCCAGTTGGTTAGTGTGTCGTGCTTGTAAGCAGTACTTGAATGTATGCGAAGGTCGAGGGTTCATTCCCCTCCGAGACAAAGTTTTTAACAATCGTACCCTATCGTACCGTAACCAACAAGCCACGGCAAGAATGTCCTTATTATTTACGAAACTTGTTATTTTGTAAAACTCGTACACGTACGATGCACTAGTCAATAAAGCCACCGCAGAAATTCGTTCTAATCGCCATATCTCTTGCGAGACCTGTTGCTTTGAAAACTATTTGGACCAAAACGCTGTAAGATGACATCTGCACTCATCTGCGCTTAATAATTGCTTGGCCCATAACCCAGAGATCAAATCATAGTTAATAGAGGAGAGGGTTTGGAAG